TTATATATATATATATATATATATATATATATATATTTGATAAATGAGTCGATTATTTAGAATGTTCTGTCATTGACGTGTGCCCTTCACTTTTATTATATTGATGTGGATTGCCTCGTGCAATAGCAATATAATATTTCCAGACATTTGTATTCATGGTCTAATTAGACAACCTCTTGCTTCGGACATAGTTGTTGCTTCGATTAAAATTTGAGAAAAACAATCAATTGTATGGAAAATCCTTCAAAAAGTTATGCAGAGACACTCTGTATTACTGAATAGAGCACTTATACTACATAGATTAGGCATATATGCATTTCAACCCGTTTTAGTGTAGGAGCGCACTATTTATTTATGATCCATTAATTTACGAGAAATATATATATGTATATATATACACGATAATACAATATCATTAAATTATTTTTGTAAATAAAAGACACAAACTTCTCAAACTCTTTCAAAGTATCATTATATGTCCTAAACATAATATTTTGATATAAAAATAACAGTTAATTTTACCGAATTATGAAAAAAATGTTTAACTATTTTCTTCGCAGATTGTATGTGATACTGACTTAGTTAAAATTGAGTGATTTTATTGTTAAAAAAGTAACTTACTGAATTTGCTGCTTTTATTGCATGTCTATGTCTCAGTATTGTTTGTTTATAAACAATATTTATTTTGATTATTAGTTAATTCAAAAGTTTACTATATTAAATAGGTTAATAAACATGTCGAACAAACATTTAAAGTAAGATCCTAATAAGTTTGATTACAATTAAAGATTGTCATATATATCAACATTTTTAATTAAATTTTTCACTTAAAAATATCATTTTTAAATGATTGTTCATTGATGAGTTGGTAAAATAAAAAGTAAAAAGAATTATATTTTCACTCGAAAAAATTAAGGAAATTCTGAATATTTCAATGAAAATAAATTTCCCATTACATATTCTATAAATTTATTTGGTGGGAAAATTTATTTTTATAACATAATATAGTTTTTTTTACTAATTCTTATGAAAGAATATCTATTTCTTGAATAGATACCTCTTTAATGAATTTGATTTTCCACAAAAAAGATAGTTTGGGGATAAAATAAATTAAAGGTGAAAGAAACAAAATAAAATATCACCCTATACTTTTTTTTTCCTTCACAAACGTTAACTTCAGTATTAAGCAAAAGTTTTTTTTATAAAATATTCCATGGAGAAAAGTTTGGATACTTTTGAGTGAATGCTCGTGGCACAAAGTTCTCCAAAAAAAAAAACATTGTAGAGATAATGACAATCAATTGTTTCACGAGGCAATAATTTATTTTATAAGCTTCTTCCTTCATGTTATTTTTATTTTTTTAAAAAAATATTTGAAATATATTAAAATTATTTATAACAATTTTAAATTTTGCGAAGGATTTATTATTCTCGCACTATTAAATATACTATTTTACGAATTTTAGCAATTATATATTTTAAAATATATTATTAAATATATTATTAAATATGTAAAAATAATAAATTTTATCTGATATCAATTTTGATTCAAATATATTTGGAACACTTCTTCAATTTTGCATATTTAATAAGTTGCGGACAATATATAGAATTTTCCAACTAAGGTGAAAATCAAAATCCCTAAAGATGTTACAATAATTGCATAGACCTTACCAATATATATAAGAACAAATAAAATGAAAATAACCAAACATACACAACAAAATGAAAAATCCATGACTTTGTCACATTCTTCTGTAACATTTTTAGCATCTTTTTGATGATCATATGAGTTTGATGATCTTGATAATTCATCTTCTATAGAAGAACAAGATGATAAAGTTGAACAAGAAAGTTCATAGCTTGCTTTTCTTAATAACTTTTCTTTTTTGTTCCTCCTCTTATTTTTTGTTTTGATCAACTGCAAAATTAAAGTGAATAGTCAAAGGTTATCGAATACGTAAAATTTAAATTCTGAATCAATTTACGTAGCGAATCAAAATTAAAGAGACTTACAGTTGGATCTTGTTTGTGATGCACATCAATGGGTTTAAAACAGAGGAAAAGTTTGTTCTTCATTTATTTGTTTTCTCAACTTTAAAACTAAATGAAGAGACTCAATTTATTTTATAAAGTTAGGGGGGAGTAGTAGTTGAAAACAAGAAATATTATTTGTTTGACACTGGCTTAGGCTTTAGGCCGGCCTCTCCCTAAAAAAATAATTTAGTTATCGTCAATTACGTATTTATAGTGATAATTAATATTTTTTATAAGTACTCTTAAGGACTATAAAAATATTGAGTTTAATTACAGTTAATTAATGTTCGTAAATCATGGCGTACCAACCTTGGTCAAAGGGTTGTCAAGTAACATTTTTTGTCGAAACATTACATTGTGTCAATGTATTAAATTTTAGTTTAGTAAATACATACGTAAGGATTGACACCTCTTGATCCAAGTTAAATATCTAGTTTGGTGATTAAAGTGTTGTTAGAATTCCTTAAAGTCACGGGTTATAATAATATTATTCTCATAATTATATTTTTTACTATAATTATTAACATCTCTTAATAACAATTCTGGATTCCTCGTAAATTTTTTAGCACTTTTTATTAGTATATTTTTCTATTAAAGTAATGGTCTTCAAACATACGTGATTAGACTATTTTAATCATTAATACACTTTTTAATAATTATGTTCATTCTAATTTTTATTATATATTTTCCCGTAATTGTTATTAATTAGGCCAAATCTCCATCTTTTTATTAATATATTTTTCTATTAAAGTAATGGTCTTCAAACATACGTGATTAGACTATTTTAATCTTAAATACACTTTTTAATAATTATGATCATTCTAATTTTTATTATGTATTTTCCCGTAATTGTTGTTAATTAGTCCAAATCTCCATCATACCAAAGTTGGTAATATCGATTTTTCTTCTTCTGGTTTTATTCTTAATATTTATTATTCGTTCCAAGTCATTTATCGAGTCCATTAAAGATTATACATTAATCAATATGAATAGCATGATAGAATATGTAATTCATTTTTCTTTTTAAGATGTGATGTGTGCATTATTAATAAATGTACAAGTAAAAATAAGCGAAAAAAGAGAATATGTTTCAAAAAAATTTATGTCTACATATACATATCTATCATGAAAAATTAACAGAAATTAAGATAAAATTAACCGTGCACCCATGAGACAAAATATCAAACATATATTCAAGAACTTGCTAGATCTATAAATTTTAAAGCTGTTCCAATCTATACGGACGAAAAGTTATTTGAATAGTAATTCTTAATCAATTAAGACAAATTTCACCAAGTACTAAAAATATTGAGATGGATGAAATCAAGATAGACAAAATACTCGAATAGCTAAATGTTGGCATATTCATAACATAAAGAATCAAGTTTTGAATTATCATCATAGTTCCGTACTATCTTGTCCTAATTTTATGTTTTTTTTAAAAAAAAAATTGGCATTACTATGGACAAAATAAAACATGTCAGTTGGCTTTTGAAGTATCCATAAGAGAGCGGTATAGTTTTCACAAATTATGAAATTTTATATTTTAAAAAAGAAAATATATACAATAATCCCAAAAAATCAAAATGCATATTCAGAATACTATAATCTCACTTTCGATTAATCGACTCTGATAATAAGGCTTCACTGAATATGTTATTGTTATCGAGTCTCATAATAATAAGGAATAGAATAGAGCCATGATAATGTTAACACTATGGCCCAATATTTCCCTAGAAAAATAGTCATGAATAGAGCAATGACAATTAAATACAACAAGGAACAACAGTCCTTTTTCTTCTTGTCACATGATGATGTTGAAGTAGTACTACAAGCTTTTGGATTTGTCCAATTTGATGATGACAACTTTTGAGATTCATGTGAAACTGAACTGCCTTTTTCTTGTGAGATTTTATTAACTTCCATTTCTGGTTTTCTTGATTCATGATTTTCCAATTTCTTGTAGCACTTTTCATCTTTATTCCAATTCACTTTACTTTTCAATTCAATCTCAAGTTGCTGAATATTTCTCTGTACATCAAATATATATAGCAAGAAAATAAAATGTCATATATCAGAAAGTATACCAAGTGAGTAAATCTGTTGGCTTTTTAAATATTATCGACAAAAATAACTTTTAACACAATTAAACATATACCATGCATAAATTGGTATTACTTTATTATTATTAAATATAATATCAATTAATTAATAACCGCTAAAAATTATTTCTTTTTATATAATGTTATTGACTAAAATTGATTAGGGATCAACAAGTACTATATATTATGAGTATTATATACTCCCTCTGTCTCCCAATTTTTCTAAAAGAATTCAGAAAACGAGATTCAAAATACAACAAATTTGATTTTTCAGAAAGTTCAAACAATTAATATCAATAGTTACTATCTCAGAAAATCACAAATTCAAAAGATAGTAACTTTTATGTAAATTGAGCGTTATCTAAGGAATTAACTCTGATTTTGAAAAACCAAAAGAAAATTACTACAACCCAAGACAATAAAAAATAAAAAGTTCTTAGATAAAATGAGACAGTAAAGTTATTTAACGCTCCAAATAATAATACCTTCGTATAAAATGAAACAGTAAAGTCGAAAAAAAGACTAACCAGAGAATCTTGAAACAATATGGCTTTACAAAGTCGAGGAAAATTCTTGTATGAAAAAAATTTCCGGCTAGGAAGTTTGTGGATACTTTTATTAAATGATGGATTCGTTATTTTTTCGTCTGAATTATTCTCGAAGATTTTCATAGACGAAGAAAGAGTACTATTGTTGTTTGTTGAAAGAAGAAGATCATTAGAATCCTCTGTTTCAACAACAGAAGGACAATAACAAAGACAGAATTTTTTCTTCATGGTTTACTTACAGAGGATTTTGCAGAGAAGTTTTTTTTTTTTTGGTTATGTTTGTTTAATGTGGCAGTTTAAGGTTGTGGGTTCGACATAAAAGGAGTAAGAAAAGGTGTGGAAAATATGCTAACTTTTGTTTTGATGCCTATTTGAACACTTTTCAAGTCACCAAGTTAGGTAGTTTGGGACTTTATTATTGGAGTCAAGTTAATAATAGCGGGTAAGATACAAATATCTTTAAAATTATAATCGAAATTTCAGAAATACAATTTAATTAAAAGTAAGATCTTATTATCTTTTCAACTTTTTTTTTTTATAATTTTGCACATCTTTTGTTTTACATGGTATACGCCATGATTCCACACAATTGAGATACGCGGGAGATATTTAGATATCACGTAAGTCAAAAAGGTGCACAAAATTAAAAAAAAAGTTTAGGAGGTAATATTACCTTAATTTAGTTAAAATATATCCTTAAGATTTCAATCATAGTGTAGGAGGTACTTGTACCTTGGAGTTTGATTCCTAATATTAGGAAAATTATATATTTGAAATTGATATTATTTTTTTCTTGCAAATTTCATGAACAAATGCTTATTTTGAAATCAAAACTTCAAAATTTATTGATAGAGCGCCTGTACAACTGATCGATAAGTTAAAGACTTGAGTTATACTAAAAAGTAAATGAGAACACTATTAATTATATCAGAGGATGAAATAGAAAAAAGAGAAAAGACATAAGGTCATCATTGAAATTATTTTGAATTTTTAAAAATACATTTTAATCTTATGAGCTTTCTATTATTCCACAAAAATATTAAATATCTTGCAATTATACCATTTTGACTATTTTCTCACCTAATTTGTGAGCACGCACATAACGCACGTTGAGGTAATTTTTTGTTGCCAAAAGACAACGCAAGAGCGCCATGTTTTAGTTATATTTTCTTTATATTATTTACTCCATTTAAATACATTATCTTCCCCCAAAAGAACACAAGAGAAATGGTAAAATGGAGAAATGGAAGGAACGATGTACTTCATTTAGATACATCATCATTCTTAATGGAAGCAAATTCTATAATAGGATTCGCGCAGATTATAGATACCCTTGATTTGATTCAATTTTTTAAGATTGTAAATTTGAATTATTAAAAAAAAAGTTAAAACTTCTAAGGAGATCTAAAAAATATAGATCGAGTCCTAAAATATAAATTGTTATCATTCATCAAAATAAAGCAAATGATCTTCCACCAAAATTGTGATGAAGAAAACAAGGAGACAAACTAAGAAATGGATTATAGAAGAAAAAAGCAAGTTTTTTTTGGAAATAAATCAAAGAATTTAATATTTTAATTAAATTAAAATGCGAGCATCATCCTTACCTGGTGACAAAATGAGTTGAAATGGTATATTTACAAAATTGTTTAATACTTTTATGGAGTCATAAAATTTTTTTTTTAATATACATGACAATTTTAATGGTGATTTTATGTTTTTTTCTAGAAATAAATAATAACCAAAATTTCAAATTAGGTCCAAATTCTATGGCCAAACATACCTACAAGATTGAATCTGAATTCGACATAGATTATGCTTTGAAGTTGTAAATGGGCTTTATAAAATGATGGGCCTTCAAAGTCGTTTATATTTGGGCTCAGAATCCAAAATAAATTTAGGCTTTCTTAAACAGGTTTTATTAAGGGAAAATTGTATATAATAGCAAACTAATAACCTAAATTAAATGGAATAGCTAGAGTTTGATTTAATTGTACTCCATAGCAAACTAATAACATAAATTAAATGGAATAGCTAGGGTTTG